CTGTAGAAACACAGCTGACTAGTACTACTTATATATATTATCTCATGCTAAGAAGCCCCTGACATTTTCAAAGAAGGTTATTTCCCCACTTAAAAATTTCAGAAAACTTTATCTGGGCCTGCTACGTCACAAGTCTGAATTGCAATGTACTCTGTCTTGGATTGTGTTTATGGGGGTTGTTGAGTGCTGTTCATTGCTGTAAAATGATTCATGCCTCATACCTCTTCCCATCTGGTGTTCAGATCACCTAAAGTCAAGCATCATTTTTGTAGGTACAGTTGTACTTAGAATTACATATTTTATCAGGGGGTGAATCATTAAACACCTCTTACAGAGTTAATAGAATAAAATTGTTTAATTAGATCCTATCTTTGAGAATTTGTCGGAAAAGATGCTGCATCATTCAAGTTGTAAACAGAATGCTGCTTCTAGCCACCTTTACAAAACAGGCTGCTAAATGCACTATTTTTCCTGGACCTTCTAAAGCTTTGTGTGGACTTAAATAGCCCAGCCCTAAATAACTTGCTGCTTTGTTATGAGTCCATATGGAGTAATTTTGGTAAGAAGCTAGCTCCTAAAGTACCTGTAAGGCAGTCCCCCTTAGTGTGCTCCAGTAATCCTAAACCAGCTGCTTTACCTCCCAGCTGAATGCATGGAGATGAGGACCATCATCATAATAATAATAATACCTGCTGCAGCTGACTCACTACAGCTCCTGCTGGGAGAAGTAATAAAATGTGCATTTCTCTGTGCCTGCGAGAGGAGGATTCACTTTCAAGTTCAGATTTTCTAGCTGAATTTATCTCCCTCGCTCTTTTGTGATGTTTGAGTACTGTGGGAGAATAACTTTAGATTATGTCTGAGGAGACTACCTGCAGAAGCTGAAAAAAGTCTGAGATCTATATTCGTGCTTTCAGGAGTATTGCTTGGTGAGAGTGTTGTATTCTGTGCACCACAGGAAAGAGAAAACAAAGCTGAGTACATCTTGCTCTGCAGCACAAATGAGATCTGTGTGAACAAACCCCTGTCTGCAGCACGGCTTTACCCAATAAACTTTCAGCACACAGACACAGTTTTGGTAGAAATCGCTGGGGTAGAAAATTATCTGAAACACTGCCATTTACCTTTCAGCTGCAGTTTTGTGTCTTGAAACATTGACATTTCACCTGTAATCTAATCTCTGTTATTAATGAATTGTGGAAGCTCTTTTCCCTAGGCACTAGACCATCCAACTGTGTATGGAGTATGTCAGTAAATATTACTAAACAAACACCCATGTAGTCTTTCAGACACTGAAAAAAGAAATGGCTACACATACAAAAATAGACATGCAGCTCTTTTTCAAGTTAGTAACATATAGTAACCGTCTAGATACTGGGCAACTGGTTCTAGATGGCCCTGCTTGAGCAAGGCTGTTTGATGAGATGACAGAAGTCCCTTCCAACCTCAACCAGTCTGTGATTCTGCGATATGTTAATTTTCTTAATTTTCTTTCTTCAGCTCAATCATATTATACAATGATGTCTTTCAAAATTATTCATCTGTCATAGCCAACAGAGATAACTATTTTAAACGAGTTCTTTATTAAATATCCTAAAGGGGAGGTTTTTAAATGCTTTAAATTAAAATCTGTGCCTTTTTCTTTGTAACTGATATTTTGTTTAAGTAAAGAAATCTGCAGTAGGTCTTATAGGGCATCTTAAGGATGCCATCATTAGATTCAGGAGAATTGCTATATGTAAAAATATAATGAGATATACAGATAATAGTAGGAATTGAAAGAAAATATTTTATAGATCCATTTCAATTACTTGTTACATACAGTGGATTGAACAAGAAGCTATATTCCATACCAGGAGGATTTAAATGCCACCTTGCTCAGCTTGAGAACAAAGGGATTTTCAGTTTATGTGTTCCGTGTGCATAGAAGAGGCAGCAGAATGGATTTGTTGTGCGGAAATCATTGCTAAGGTGGTGCTGAGAAGAGCGTAGAGAAAGGGCTTAGTGTGGCTACAGGAAAACAACCAACCTTTGTTTATAGACTTCAGTGCATTGCAGAAATGACCCATGATTAGATCTGAACCCTACAAAGAGTTTAAGGGGTTTGGTGGAACAGGTACAATTAATCTGTGTTTGGTTGTTAAATTGACTTAGTAATAAGAAAGTTAAGTGGGTGTAAATGTTTTATCATTCTTAAACCCATATTACATTAAGCATTATGTAACAGTCAAATAGACTGATTAGATACACAAATGCCTCAAGCAAATGTTCAAGACTAGTTGCATCTGTAACTGATAGAGAGTGAGATCTGACATGCAGGACTCTTTTTTTGTAAGAACTGTGTTATAGATACCACGATCACGGATGGCTCTTTGCAGAACATTTTAAATCGGTTAGCATTGAGAATTTACTGATTAACCGAAGGATTATATGACACTCTTGATCATATTTTTCCACAAGTTTTTGAATTGCTGGATTATTTTATAACCTGTTAATTCAATCACACACTCGTGAGTGTGTTCTTTCACCAGTATAAAGGTTAGTTACCAGGATACTGGATATTGAATGGTCTACCAGCTAGATACTTGTAGGATACAGTGATCAGGAAGTTATATGTCTTCAAACCTAGCAAATGATGACATGAATGTATCATTATCAGCTCACCTTTGTGATAATTGACCTTAATCATGAATACTTTAAAGAACTTTTTAGTAACTGTTCCTCTAGATGAAATACTGTGACCTGTTTTCCAAGTAAGTTAATGTCATAATAGTTCAATATTCAAATATGTGGTTTTAGACATTATAGCAAGCCACAGCATTTAAAGCTGTGCAAGTAAAAGCAGTACGTGCAATCTGCTGTCATGTTTTAAGATGAAGGGGAACCTGAAGAAAATACAGGTTTATCAGTGGTTTGGTACAGTATGAGTTTTAAAGAAACAAGTATGTAATGATTCATTACTGCAATTACACAGTATTCTTCCTATATAATGTATTTCTTCTTATGTAATAATATGTTCTACAACATAATACAATAAACACTGCACTGATCTGTGCAGTATAATGCTGAGTATATAGGCTCAACCGATTTTTGTTGGCATCATCCAGTACTAAAAGAGAAGAAACCAGAGACCCTTCAGAGACTATAAAAGAGCCTTCTTTTCCCAAATTTATAAAAATAAGGGGAAAATCCTGTTTTCTGCTGTGATCAATGTCCATGTTACCAATGGAAGCAAGATTTCATTTCAAATGGGGAAAGTAGGAAGATTTTCAGCATGCTCCCATTGTCTCCATTTTCTTTGTTGGCCCAGGTTTTTCTTAAAATTTAGTTCTTGAATGACATATGTGCTGACAACAGTCAAGACAAAGATTCTTTTTTCTGTATTTTGGAGGTGTTTATCATATTTTAGATCTCTAAAATGGATTGCATTTGTTATCTCCTTTCTTTCTTTTGCTTTTCCTTGTGTATGTTATCCCAAGAAAAAAGGTTTGGGTGTCTATCATCCGCAAACATTTTACTACTTAAGAGTGCTTGATTAACACTATGTCTGTCCACAGAAGTCAGAAATGAGCCACAAATCTTAATTCTGTTTCGATGTTTGTAGCATCTGCTTGCTTGTCAGTGTGTTAAGTTTTATATTAACAGGCTCAGTGGTGAGAGATGCATCRTTATGGTACTGCATAACAAGTCATCAGGACAAGGGGCATGGGGAACTTTATCCATCATTGAGACAAGACATTGTTTGTAGGTCAGTTAAGTGCAGGACTTGACACCTTCTCTGCCAAAGTAACATTTACATTACCAAAGACGAAAGTTCTGGCACTCCAGCTAAAGTATCAGCAAATGAGTGAAAGGTAAATACATTTTTGAAAGCATTTTTGAATCTGCACTCCTCAAGGAACCTAAGGAGATTGCTGTAAAAACTAACATACTCTACCAGCAAAAAATCTCTCTGAGGAGTGCAGCCTAAGCCATAAAGCACATGAAAAGAAAAAATTTCTGACTAATTAAGTTGAGAAAAGGCCCACAGTGAATCAGTGGCATATAGGACCTTCTTTATAAGTTTGGTGGTTTTACAATAAAACTAAATAAAAGTTTTGATTTGTTTAGATTCATCTTTGTCTTTCAAAAAATCTCTATGTTATAGATAAGTATTTTTATTTTTTAAGTTTGCTTTCAAAATAACTGCCTAGTGTCAGAGCTTTGGTTGATACCTAAGAGTGTAACAAATCTAGAGAACAAAGGCAGTGTAAGACCAAGCCTTTTCCTTTCACCTTATTGGAGATGTTTAAAAGGGAGAGTTGAGGAAAAGTGGGCCAAAAGTGTATACCAGAAATGACAGAAAATTATATATATTGGCAGTGTTGATTTTATGTAATTTATGTGTATGTGCAATTCCTTTCTAAAGGGTAATCTTACCCATTGACCATGTCTGACCTGATCTATCAGACTGTCAGCCCCTTTTCACTATTCTTAGTTGAGGTTGATGGAAGGCAGTACTGTGACCTTTCTCCAAAACTCTATTTTTGCTTGCATTCTTCAGCTGAGCAGCATTCTTCCTCTTCTGTATGCTGAGCAACTTATATTTTTAACAGCAGTTTCCTAAGTCTTTTAGTTCTTAAGAAAGTTCAGAGATCAAAGAAGCCATTCTTGGAGGCTGAGACACCACTCAGGTCAGTTGAGATCATTTGCGTTCAAGTCAGTTGCCTGGAAACATGAACTTTTGATAACATAGAACATAACTGTTCTGGTTTTAGGAAACTACTTGCTAGAGAACGGAAGGGAGTTAAGTTAAGTTTGGAAAATATTGTGAGAAACACAGCTTGCTGCTCTCTATTAACCTAAGCATGCTCAAGCTTAGCAGACACTTGACTATGTGATTGCATGAATACAGCATTAATGAAAGTATTTCTATGAGGGAAGGGGACTCTCCTATCTGGATATAAAATCCTTGTTTTGCTTCTGTAATTAATTTCATTTTATTTTCATGAACATTTTAGGTGTATCAATACATGCATGAAACCATAACTGTTAATGGCTGCCCCGAATTCCGAGCCAGGGCCACTGCAAAGGTAGGATATGTGCAGCTGTTGAAATATGTATTACCAAAGTGATCTAGTAATTGACTGTGCGCGTGTGTGTTTCAGGTATTCGTGTGTACACTGTAAGAAAATTTAGACATCAGTGGCAGCCCAGAGTCTAGAACCAGTGCTACTTCCCAGGTAACAATCATAATGGAAAATTTCAACCTTTATGCTGCTTCTGTAGCTTAAGAAAAGAGAATGATTTTATGGAATATGATGCTTTTTGAAAAGTTGCTTTGCAAAAGCATATCTCCTGGTTCTTCTGTAGCAGTCTGCCTGCAACACCCAATATTTTAATGGACTGTTTTCCCATACATCTCATCCAGAGAGGACACAATTATTTGGGAGGTAGAAACTAAACAGTCGAAATTCCCCTTTTAAGTAATGGGAGCTGTAGGTCCTGAGCAAGTGGTAAGGATGTACAGTAACAGAAATGGCCTGATCAACATTTTATTGACTCCACAGCCAATGTAAGCCTGCTTTTTTCCCAATACATTGCCTGTTTTAATAAAATATATTGTCTCTTTGTCCATGTGGACCTGCCTTTCTTATATCCTAAGACAGCTACATTACTGCTACTACTGAAATGATAAGGGAATTCACACAACCATGAAAGAACCCATTCTGTGTGCCAGTATGAAATATGCTCTGTATTTTCACAACATGCACTGAAACATAGATGCTTTCAAACAAGGGGATCTACCATAGCTTTCTTTTTCCCATTATCCTTTTGTGCAAAACACAGTCTTTAATGTGGTATAGCAGATTCTAGCAAAATAACTTGCTAACCCATAAATCTTTTTTAGATACTTTTTTATGGTCCCATTCCTGTGAACATAAACTCCCTGACGTCCTAATGGCACTAAGATGTCTTACCATTAAGTATTTATGTTCAGAGATTTTAATCTAAAGCTGTATCAGAAGAGGAAGGTCAGGAGTATGTTAGAAAATGATTTAAGAGTATTTTAGAGCTCTATAATAACAGCAAATAACCTAATATACTCTAAATTGTAGTGTATTTTCTGTATTAAATAGGGCGTTATTTTCTGTAGGCCGTAATTCTGATTTTAATCTTCTAATTGAAAGTTAATGGTCACTGTAAATTTATAAGGTCTTTGGTTCTATGTAGAGAAATGTGTGTTTGAAATCCTGATCTGTTTACACTGCAGATAAACATAGAAATTATTGCTATTTTATTTAGTAAATGGGGAGAAGTCCAATTAGTGTTTCCCATTCTCATTTCTTACTCATATAGAACAGCAGGTTACAGAGCAATGTTTCAATATCGCAATATTTCCTGGTTATTTCTGGGCTGTCTGCATTTCATTCTCCTAGTGCATTCATGTCTGACATAAAATGTGTGCATGATGACAAGTTCTGCATGTGCAAAAAYACCTAATTGAGAATGATCCATTATATCGCATCATCCACTAGCTTCTATTAAGCATAAGTATATAGGATGCTCAAAATTATTAGTGTAATGCAAAATTGTTCAAGCAGTTTGAACCACAAACACATGTTAAAAAGTATAAAATATTTTCCTAAAGTTTATTAATGTTTTATTAAGATAGATAAGTAAGAAAATGCTTGTAGTAAAAAATCATGTATTCATGTAATATTTTCCTGGATGCAAGCCTTACAGTATGTTAACTTTTTTTCCCCCCCGGAATACGATTAATGGTCTAGGATTTTTCTAATTGATTTATATATCTGCTGTTGTCTTAAGGTTTAATTTTTCAATAAAAAATTTGATGGAATGATATAATAGAACCTCCTATTCCAATTCCAGAAGTTACTTAGTTTGCAAGATTTCACAAAGATTATAAATTAAACTTTTTAATACGAGAATGTAATTTGAGGATTTAAAATAAATAATTCTTAACTCCAAAAGCAAAGCAGAGAGTTAACAATTCAGTTCATCCACTTTGTTTCAACTAGGAATACATTAGAGATCCCATTATCTTGTCCCACAGGAATAAATTTTCTCCCTGTGAAAAAGCAAAGAAGAAATGCACTAATGATCATAAGGGTGCACCACCACAGAGTAAGGCTTCCTGGTGCCTACTTCTCGCTCTGCTGGTAACTTTCTGTATTATCTTTGACAAGTCTCCTAAACTCTCTGTTTCTCTGTTTATTCCTTTATTTAAAAAAAAATGGCTTAGAACTTCATGTTTTATAAATATTTTCAGATAATCACAAAATGTCAAAATAAGATACTGAGATATTTTCACAGGAAGGAATTCTTCCTGCAGATGAACAACGAAGTGTCTATCATTGTTCTCTCTAAACAGCCAAATCACCAATTCTTTTCTTCCAGGCAACAGTTGCTGCATTTGCTGCAAGTGAAGGCCATTCACACCCACGAGTGGTGGAGCTGCCAAAGACTGAGGAAGGCCTGGGCTTTAATGTGATGGGAGGAAAGGAACAAAATTCACCTATTTATATTTCTCGCATCATTCCGGGAGGAGTGGCTGAAAGGCATGGTGGGCTCAAACGTGGGGACCAGCTGCTTTCAGTTAATGGAGTGGTATGTGGAAATTTGATAGAGCTTTCATTTTCATCTGGATTTTCATTTCTCACAGCTGTTCTAATACCATGATTTAAAAGGCAGCCACATGAAACAAAAACAATTAGCTCTGTGAGAGACCTTCAGAGTGCATTTGTGGTGCAGTGAGGCAGAGCTCCACCAACAACTGTTGTGCCGTTACAATTTCTGTTGTAATGGAGAGCGCTTGAAGAGCTTCATTTCAAATTCACACCACCTGCCTTATTTACAAGGAACCTATGTCCTTAATCGATAATGCTGTAAATTCCTCTTGCAGTAAAAGCCTAATAACAGACTGTCGTTCTTTCATTTCATAGCCTTCAAGGCACACAGCCCTTTCTAAGCACAGTGATGCCGCAGTGGCACTTGTGTAGTCTTGTGACCTTCAGAGCCTTTGAACACATAAAACTGAAAGGAATTTGGTAAGCACATTTGGTGCCGATTTGCAGTGGAAGGTACATTCTGGATTTCTTTTATTGGTATTTGTCCAGCTGTGATAGCTTTGTCAGATAAATCAGCTGTACTAATGTTCATATACAGGGAGCATGTATGCTTGGTAAAATTATACGTTTTTTACATGGTCATTTTTCATGTAAGTCAAGGTAGAGTATTTTGCAGTAGTTTCACTGTGAATGTCGATATGGAGGCAATAAAAAAAAAGGCTGTTGGAGTAGAGGGCAAATAAGGCTCTGACTCCATGATATGGGCCAAATTCTGCCTTTCATTTTGCTTTGCGTTCCCTTTTACAAATCAGTGCAAAGTTCTGAAATGGTAAGGATACACATTCATATAACCCTATGCATTCCTTTATAAACATGCAGTCCATTTCCATTCAAATCTCTATATAACTGTGTATTTAATTGTATCAAGGGCACATGGTAACAGTTTCTGAGTCCAGTCAGAAATCTAAGACTTTTCAGCTTAAATTCTTCTTTGTTGCCAGCCCATAAACAATCAAAATGTTTTTATGTTTTCATCTGAGCTATCCTCTTTCTCTTGTAACAAAATATTTGTGTAACACTTGAGACAGACTTCTTACCACTTCTTCTATCGACTATCATGTACTCAAAAGAGAAATATTAGTTCTGGAAACTTGCTTGCACTGATACACAATGAGAAAGAAAATAAAAACCCTTTGAAAAGATTATTTAGTCTCAAAGAAAAAGAAATAAACTGAATATTTAAGGAAGTTGATTGCCTGAACTTCACTGATTGAAAGTCAGTCAAAGAATTTTGTTGTTGTTTCTTTCAAAATGTGATTAAAAAGGCAGACAAAAAGAGTTTTAATTTACTAATTGATGGATGGTTCTTGAAAAATCCTTTAATGTCTGGGCAAATACCAGAGAGGAAAGAGGTGAACCTTCAGATATCAAGCTGTATTGAATTTTGACCCTTTTGTCACCTSTATTTTATAATTCTCCATTCAAAAATTTGATACATGTGCTCTAGAATATATATTTAGGTAGCACAGCAGAAAAACACATTGCAAAATTCCAAATTGCATGTGGATTCATGAGAAAGTTGATTTAGAGATGCAAGGAAAATATTTTTGTATTCAGAGTCTAAGCAACAGAATTTGAAGTTTTGAAGTTCAAATTTAAGCAATTTGAATTGAAGTTGCATACTTGAAATAATCACAGAATCATAGTCTAGTTTGGGTTGAAAGGTACCTTAGAGATGATCTTGTTCCAACCCCCCTATCATCGGTAGGAGCACCTTCTAGTAGAGCAGGTTGCTCAGAACCCCATCCAACTTGGCCTTTAATACTTCCAGGAATGGGACATCCACAACTTCTCTGGCAACCTGTTCCAGGGCTTCACCATCCTCACAGTAATGAGCAACAGTTCATAAACCAGTCTTGGGCTAAATTAATCCCATACAATATAATTTGTAAAAAGGCAAAAATTACAGACATGATTATTTGTTTGCAGACAGCTTGAGACAGGACGAAATTATGTAAATTTAGCATTGTTCACTGGGACTAATTCACTCTGTGATTCTCTTAATTTAGCCAGAGGAAAGCCAATCATATACAGTCTGTACAATAGAACAGACGGCTCAGCAGTGGAACATGAAATGAAAATGAAATATCTGTACTTGTTTGTGCTCAACCATTGATGGTTATCCAACTTCATAATTAGCAACATAGAATTAGAGCTGTGTGTTCAGAATCCAGATTTGTTATCCCAACATGACTGGGAAGCCTGTTACTTGAGCTGTTTCACCTGATGTTAAAAACCAGTGTATACTCATTATGCTGGGAATTTTGTTACATACTTTTGTTCTACTCTCCTAAAAATAAAGGACATTGAAAGCAGTAAGCCCTGCAGATGGCTCGACAAAAACACTTGCTGGTGCCTGTTGATATCTGGCAAAGATTCTGCATTTGTCAGAAACCTTGTGTGAGTCAGATATAGAAATGATGCAAAATAGATGTATAATGACTCAGTTGTCAAACAATTGTTTGTTTAGAGATACCTAATAGAAATATTCTTCYCAGTTTCTCAACTTGTGGGCTAACAGACAGATTTACTTCTTTGTCATCAAGAAAGAGAATTTTTTTCTCTTAGATTTATGACAAGTCTGTGAACCAAGATAGAGTAATGGTTGGTATTTGCCCACACTATATCTGCAGTTCTTTCAGCTGTTCTTGTCTCTATGGTGTTTTGCATGCTTCTCTATGATGCAATATGCCAATGGAATAGTGGGAAAAAATGAATAAGTATATATAAGTATATGTAATAAAAAATCATATATTAAGTAAATACATACATTCCAAAACAATTTTACCCATTTGGTGGGTGTTTGTAAAGTAACATGAGTGTCAGATCGTTGCAATGTCCCCCGCTGGCATAATCCAGTCAGCAAAGTACCTTGTACAGGAATGACCAATAACAGCAGGAGTCCTTTGCCAGCACAACCTCAGAGTTTTGCAGAGGCAGAAGAATTGAAAAAACAAAGCAACTTCCTTTGCCCTTTCCTTTTTCCCAGTCCGAGGGGCTCTCCTCTTTCACTTGTGCAGCTGCTGTTAAGCAAGAAGAGCTTTTGTAATACCTTGAAAATTGGAGTGCAAGTAGCAATAAAGACATTAAGAGGAAGTATAAAAATCATATTAATAACAGCTGAAAACTGTGGATGTCAAGATCTGAGTAAGGTGTGTTCAGAGAGCAGGATTTGTATTTAGCAGTGCTATCTTTGCCTATGTTGTTTTCCCCTCTTCGATTATGGCTTAGAGCATTAGGCTTAATTCTGTGTCATTACTATTCAAATCAATGGGAGTTTTCCATTGACCTGGATCTCAACAAAGTCAAACTCTTCATTTCTGATTAGAAAATACTGTCTGAAAAGAAGAACAAGACTGGGGATAAGCAGGAGAGAAAACACTCTATTACTAGAGTAGACAATCATAAATTAAATGCAGTTTGCTAGGTTGTTGAATGAAGTATTAAAACACACCATCTTGTTATTCCCCTACAGAAAAATCACATTTTCTTATTGGTGTCAGTAAAGACCATTCAGCTCTTTGAAAGAAAACAGATGTTTCTATTTCATGTAGCTTGGCAACTTAAAATGTTTGTTCGTAGTCTGTTCTAAGTTCACATTGTTGCACAGCAAAACCAATCCACTTCAGTGACACCACTGAATACCCTGCCACGTCTTCTAAATGTCCATGCCATGCCGTATTGACCATGATTTAGAAGCAGAAAATGAAAGATAAAACAATGCCAAATTTTTTACACTCTCTCTTAAGGTTGGACTTACATTTTCAAAAGCTAGTATCAAAGTCAGTCACAAAAAAGGTGCTATAAAAGAGAGCTAGTTGCAGTATGTGTTAGTTATGATCACCTAACATTGAACAGTTACAGACTAGGGGATGTGGGCAAGAAATTTTCATTTGTATCTGTGATTTGTTCATTACAGCAATTTCAATTACAAAACATGCTGTTCATCTGTAGCTTTTTCCTTTAGTTCACTTTGGAACATTGAATACATTCACTGTTTCTTATGCAACAAGAGTTTCCTTTTTGTTTCAAATATTTGTAAGGACACAATTTATTTCTCCAAATTACTTATGAGTACCAGTGCTTTTCCAGCAGATTTATCCCAGTTGCAATTTCTAACCAATCTGGTCATCACAGATCTTGAATTTTCTTGAAGATCTTTGGACCTACTGGAGGGATTTAGTGAACATACAGTTCAAAATGTCTATTTTCTTGAAGGTTTTCTCTATTCTTGGTAATCATTTCAGCACCAGGTAATGTCATTCATTATTTCTCTGTGTTTCATTTATGTTTTCAAAGCATCTTAAAATTTCCATAGAAACTTGAGTCTAGTCAGTGAACTCGGACATGAAATAATTGTTTGTATTAATATATTGAAGGATGTTTAACATTTAGGGAAGATAACTAGCAAAGCAATAACCTTGAATTGCTTATACTATCTGTATAGAGTGTATTGTGCTTGGTTTTTGAAACTTCTAAATCATTAGTTCTAGGTCATAATGTGTCACATCAGACGTAGTTCTTACTGCTCCTGCACAATGCTACTCAGTCAGAAAGGAGAGATGAGTATAGAAAGAATTTTCTTCTGACAGTTGCTGTAATGATGCTAAGTTACTCTTTTTGCGTGAATTTAATATTCTGAATGCTGGTTCTTCTCTTTGGAAGCCTATGGCTAGATTTTCATTTGAAATGGAGTGCACATAAGAGTTTTAAAACACAGCAGGTAGTAAAACTTTGATTTAAGTGGGAAGAAAATGACTTATTTTTAGATAATATAAAATCCATGTGAAGGTAGCTGATATTCAGGCTGTTAGGTTTTTTTTCTGTGCAGAGATACTTTTGTTTTTTGGAATACATCCTACGACACATATGGACAATCATGCAGCATTAAAAATGTTTCCCTTTTTCTTAAGGTATGTAACTGTAAAGTACTCCAGTCAGTCCACTTCATGGTAGAAATTGAATACTCTTAACAGCCGAGTCACCTCCCTGTTTCATAATTTACTGTTTCAAGCAACACAGAAATCAGAGCTTGAAAATCTCTGATTTCAAGAGATTGAAATGCTGCTTGAAAATGAGCAGCAGTGCATAAATCTTACTTACCCCTTTCTTTTTAGTGATCCCTTAAAAAATGTAGGGTATGGAAACCACCTAAAACTCTGACAGGCTTTCTATATGAAAAAGACACAGCTTTAGATCAAAGCACCATTTTCACTGTTAAATCTGTTCTGCCTGCTCCCAGAGTGTGGAAGGAGAGCACCACGAGAAGGCGGTGGAGCTGTTGAAGGCGGCCAAGGACAGCGTGAAGCTAGTGGTGCGCTACACTCCCAAGGTGTTGGAGGAGATGGAGGCTCGCTTCGAAAAACTCAGAACAGCCCGGCGCCGGCAGCAGCAGCAATTGCTCATTCAGCAGCAGCAGCAGCAGCAGCAAAGTACACAGCAAAATCATATGTCGTAGGTGAGAGGATTCATTGTCCTTCCCTAAAGTCCACTGACGGCACCCCATCTGGGTCAGCTGCTTCTAGGGGTCTGTCAGTACAACATCTGGTGCCAGAGCCCATCCCAGCCCCAGACAGGAGCAGGGCAACCGCAGGCTGGGCACCTGCCTGGGGACGGAGACAGGCTGGGACATGAGCGCACAGGTGGGCCCAGTTTAGTGGGACCCCATGGCTGGGCAGGGCAGGGCTATGGGGTGCTGGAGACTGGCCATGCTGAGGCATTGCTGGGGTAGGGGATGGTGGTTGTGGAGGCTCACATGAGGTCCTGGGCTGTGCACAGGATGGAGGGAGCCCCGGGGGGGACAGTCAGGGGCCTGGAGGTATCCTTGGGGCCTCAGCAAGCACTTGCTGGAGTCAGGATGAGGAGAGCTCATTCTTTGGTACATTTTTTCCACAAGGTTTTTCCCAGTAAAAATGCATTTTGAGAACAGGTTAAAGGCACTAGCAAATTCTGTAGCCATTTTCCAGCTAATAACCCTGAGATCAATAGCCACTGTACAGTACTGACGTATCTGCGAATGAATGAAGTCTGTAGTTTCTGGGAATGTTTTTTGTCTTAACAACCAGAGCATTTATGACAAGTAAGAATATGCCACCAAATTTTGATAGTTTAAAGCATTCTCAACTAATCTGTTACCACTCTGGAATAAAACATCAAGATGTGCTGGTGGTAGGTGAAGAAAAGAATTCCAAGCCTCTTCCTTGCTACAGGAAGCCCAGATTTCATTTTGGTTACTCTGCAGGACTCCTATAAATGCTTGCTTTTGGATACAGTTTGGTAAGAAGCATTTAGTGCACTCTTGACTGACATTCAATATTACAATAGCTTCCAAGAGGCTTGCAGGTCTCCCAGTGGCTTGTGAGGTTGAGAGGTTCTCTGTATATGCGGGTTTTCTGAAATCAGTGTTTGTGCCATGAATATATTTATAGATACGCTCCATTTGCCGAAATAAAATCAAATAGGAAGCATGTTCAATGACTTAAATCCCAGTCCTCCCCATCTCATACCTGTTTGTTCCCAAAACAGTATGTCAGTACTAGAGTCAAATTACTCTAGTCAGACTCTTGGAAAGTCCCCAAATGGTCAAAGTCTGGAGCTCCCAGTGATGGTTTCATCGTTATTGGTGTTGACACTGACCTCTTTTGGTATTTAGGGGAAAACACCCACCTTATAAACACCCTGTCCTGTGACCACCGCAATTCCAGACTTGTTGATGCAGACAAGGGCTCTGAAAAGGCTATGAATTCCACCTCAGGGCCTCAACTCAGACAGGAGGTATAAACAGCAGTATTTCATGAAGTAAGTTTTGGATTTCTGTGTTAAACAAGGCCATTGCAGGAGACAGATATACACTTGAAGTTTTATTTTTTTTCACTTACCTAAATCATTTCATGAGCAAGTAAAGACTTTTTGCTGATTTTGAATTGAAAGGGAAGAGAGGCAGGCTGAAACAGCCAGCAGCTTAATTTCTCAGTTCTTTGTGCTTGCTCTGAGGAATGTGTTTCTTTAATTCTAGGTTTTTCTCAAGAAAGAAAAAGCCTCAATCAAGAGTTCAGTAATCAAGCAGCCAGAACTTTACTCCAGTATTCCAGCAAAAGGAAACAACCACAGGAACATGAAACAGAATTCATCTGGGGAATGCACAGTACAAGATTAATGTTAAGTGAGCCATAGGGTAGGTGCCATCATGATAAGGCTTTTTAGCACACAGCAGTCACAGATACCTTTTACTTCTGTGAGTCTATTCCTAATGAGAACAGCCTGATTGGTAAACCCTATGAAACAGCCAAGTCCAGGGCTTCCAAATAATTCTGTTTGATCTAATCTTGCACTCCTTACTCTGACAAATTTGCTAGTTGGTTTTCTCTGGTCACTGAAAGTTTTGTTTAAGGATGTTAAGATTGGCTGCTTTTGAGGGCAGATCTTTCTCTACAGTTATCTCCAGAAATTAAAAACATCAGTTCAAAATTTTGCCACAGGCATCAAACTCGTACATCACACATCATAACCACTTTGTACTATATATTGTAGAGCTGTTTTAACCTAACTTCCTGTTTATAATTTTCAGATTTCCCTCTGGAAATAGCAATTTACTATATTTATAAAGTATTCCCTTTGTAGAAGCAATTGGCTTTTTACTCTTGGTGTTTCCATATATTTTATTATGCATCAACAGAGTGAGAAAGTTTTAGGTCAACTTTAATTTTATTAGTAGTAAAGTTAGGGAAGCCTAGAACTGTATTTTTAAACGTAGGTATTGCTTGTATCTATTATAGTTACTATTCAGAAATCTATAACTGGATATATTATATATTTATTCCATAAAATATTTATTGTCTGAATGTACCTGTTAGAGAAGTAGGGTCTTTGCTTAGCATGTATTGCAAATATAGTAAGCTAATGTTAGCAAAAGACCAAGCTTTGTTTGGCAGATATTACTGTGATAGCATAAATTCTGCATTTCTGTATTCTTTAATTTATTTTCCAGTCTAATGTTAATATATTTTAGAGAGGAGGAAGTGTAAGTTGTTTCTTTTAAGACTTACTCATTATCATTTAAATCAATTTGAAATTAGAGTTCTGACTTTTTTGTTTTAATTAAACCAAATTGGAATGTGCAAGCAAAATCTGTAAGTTGTTAAGTTTACATGTCTGCTTTTCCAAAGAAGATAGTCAAAGCTGGAAGGCTATAAATGTCATCAGCTTTCAAGAAAATAAGAAAACAGACACCCAAATTCTGAAATTTTTTTTCATGTTTTCTATGCTTTATTAGAAAAGACTGGGGAGAAAAGGAGCTAAGGGGAAAAACATACAGTCATTGCATGTTGAAAACTCCTTCTGATGTCAATGAAAGTTCAGTAATGTAAGGAATGAAATTTAGAAATGGTCAAAACCAGTGTTCTGGTTGTAAACTGAACAAAGTCAGAAACAATATATTGAAGGATCTTCCCTCAAACAGAGAGGGATGAAGCAAAATGGGGGAAATTGGCAGTATCATAGCATATGTTAGAAACCAAATGCAGGCTTAGCCAACAGTCTTGACAGTGTTTGATTAGTGTAAGTAGCCATTGAAAGGAAATGACTGTATTTTTAAAACCAAACAGCATGAATTCATCTAGAGAAACCTCATTTTATACAGAGAGCTAATTATATTCAGCGGTCATTGGTGACAATATCAATTAAGACAGTGGAGGTTGAAAAGTACCAGAACTGAAGATGAAATAAATTGTATTGTGCTCTGCACGGTGTCTTTTTATACTTAATAAAATTGTACGTACCTATTTTAAAACTGTTCTCAAACAGGCATTGCTATTAATATTGACAGTGTATAAGTTGTTATTAGGACTGCATATAACTGTTCTGTATCTCATCAGTATGATTTGACTTACACTGATAGCTTCATTTTCATAGACCAAGTATTCAGATTTAGTCAGCCCACTGTACTGCTTTTTTCCATACCACCACTCCACCTCCTTCCCTCCTCTTCCTCAAAAAATTTGAGTGGAATGTGCTGATTAATGAATTTCAATAACAGACTGTCATTCATATAGAGAAGAATATCAAATTCATTTTCATATATTATTATTCAATAAATTATTTATACACACTAAAATTAACATTCTAGTCTTTGCCAACATACAATAAGAACTGTCAATGACCTTGAAGTGAAAACGGGAAGAAATAACTTTCTGTTGCCCTTTCATTCATACCCTTACTGATCTGTAAAACACACAGCTACTTAATCACAGAATAACCACTGTCCCTATGCCTATGACATGCATTTGCTTGTAGCTGGTATTTTCATTTGTGATTTAAATGTATTTGGTCCTGATTCAGTAAGGCAATTCCACATGTGCGCAGCTGAATCAGTATCCAAAAGAAGTGCAGGGAAGAAAACACTTTCCAGATTCAGGTCTGCAGGTGTTTTTGCATTGTATTTTAACTCAGTGGTCTTCTGGCCTTTGCTGTTCCACTGCACTAAATTGATGTTCTTTCATTTGATTTAATGAGGTTTGTTGCCTGTATTTATCTTTGCGGCTCCCTCCTGTTTCTCTGCACTGGCAGCAAACTGAGGTAGGCGATCCAAGATGCCTTTTCTGTCTCAATCACAGTAACCAAAGGAGTGTTTACACAGTCTTGCATCATGTTCACTTACGCCAAATGACTGGCATTTTATAGGGCACTGAAGAATTCCATAGCCCTTGATGAAGCAAAAATCTCACCAGCTTGAATTTTTCTCTTTTCCTTCTGCAGTGACAAATCATAGATAAAAGGTCAATAAATGGCCATGAGTGGAAGAAGTGACATAAAAATCTACCTGCAGTTCCCTAGGGACTAATATACAGGTCTCACAGTCCTATGCATTGTACCTCATATGTATATTTATCAGAGCCAAGATTCCAATATCACTTAGGAACCTTTGAGAACTCTCACAGAAGGCACAAAATTATATGCCTCATTTGCAGGAGAAAGACTGTTTATTCATCTGCTAACTAGGGATTTTAGAGTTCTAAATGAAATTAAGATCTCATGATCAAACCAAGTTCCTAAAATAACAAAAAAGCTAAACAAGAAGGGAGTGGTCCTGCCTGTTTGAAATAAAGCAGGATTTTAAGCATAATTTCAGAATTGTCTGGAAATGCTAAGGGAACCATTCCATGTGTAAGCAGTGAATTATTAGCTAGAAATAGTACTGTCCCTCCCTAAGTATTATTGAGACCATTTCCATATCCAGCATTCAATAAAATAAATTTCGAACCCTGAAAGCAGTCTCGGGCTCAGTTTGCAAGAATGTAGTGCCTGCTGCTGTACATGTCTGGTGAGACATAACAGCTCATTGTACTTAGCCATGAGAAGGTCAGGGTGAATTAGGGATATGCTCAAACAGTCTTGCAAGCAGACCCATGCTCACCCTACTTGTCCATGAAGTGAATGCAGTCTGAGCTAGCAGAAGGATTTAGATAAATGCTTGATGGATTCATTGTCTCTACCTTCAGCTGTCCAAAATCAAGCTGTGAGCTTAGGCTAGTGTTGTGGTTTGAGCAAATTTAATGGGGGCGAACACTCCCAAGTTCCAGCAAACTCCCCTCCTTTCCCCACCCAGGTCCTAGAGACAAACTTTTCCACAGAGAGGAAAGTGAAAAGAAAAAGAAAAAAACCTATTTATTTAACAAAACAACAACAACAA